CTGGGCCCTCGGTTAGCTATCTTTTCGTCAGCTATCCGGCCCCCAATGTGTTTTCAACGTCTTCGAGGCACGACCTTGGTTTTTTGTTTGTCCACTTTATCGAAAGCTGCCTCTCGTCATCCCTCTAGAAGGGGATCGGTTGCTGTCCTACGACCCTTCTTTGGACTGAGTGTGATCATGCATAGTCGTATCCGTCTATGGTTATTTCGACATATACTCACGCTTTCCCGAGCTAAGGCTGTCACCTTGTTGTGGGCTTCTGTGCTGCGATCATCTCGCGGGATATACTGGCTTAAGGTGGGTTATCTTGACCAAACCCACCTCTTTGGCATGGGCAGCCGAGAAGTATCATTCGCCCTTGTAGCTCTTCGCTCACGAGCCTTTCCCCTCACCCCTTCCCTATCAGTGGAACGATGCAGTGCAATCAACCCATATGCCAGTCCTCTAGCCCTTCTCCGTATATAAACCTTCTGTAAAATAATAAACCAGAATTATTTACTCACCTCGAGAGATCTGATCCACGTTGCGGCATTTTTAATGCCCGCACTCGATGTCTAATAGGGCAACGGATATCCCTATCTGAAACCTTATTTTCCCTTTCTGTCGACGTATATTGTTTCGAAACACACATAAAAGACCCCACTTCGATCGTACATCTCAAGCCGCTTTGAACGAGCCCAAATGTTCCACATTTCACCCTTCGGATATATGATCATCGTGACTCAATGGTTCGTGGTATCCAGTAAACAGTCACCTTTAATTTGTGCGGTTTTCTGGCTCAGTTAGGATCAGTACAGGTCAGCGCGGTACGTGGTGTTTATTTGTCATATAAGTATATGCCCCGACGAAATGGCTCAGTGGTTAGAGCGCAAACTTACTGTCCGGGAGGTCCGTCGTTCGAGCCCGACCTCTGATCCTTGACTTCCCTTGTCTAGGCTTGCTCAACATGGCAGTATCCCAGTCCTCGTGCTTCCGTCTGGTGTCATGATAGTTGGGCATCGAAAGGGCGCTACAGCTGAACGACACCCTGACAGACTGCAGTTCTGAAAATGAAAAGGCCGAACGGCACAAACGTGCACATTGAATTATATGGAGACCACCAACCACAAGAAAGTCATGGGCTCAATTGGAACATGTTATTATCAGGTACCGATGGAAAGCCTCAATTCAAGATTGCCATTCCCTCTGGGGTACGCAGTTCGACTCTGATCATGTCATTGTGCGCTTTCCGTCAAGAAACTCCATTCACCGACTTCGACAAGCCTCAGTAGCTCAAGATTATCGAGCTGATGAGTATGTTTCGATCACGCAGTGAGCAACGATAATATCGTCCAGCTGTAGCCTACTCTTGGTGCCTAGCCGCCATACCACCGGAAGGAAGCACGAGGACCGGGATACTGCTAGGTTGCCCAAGCCTAGTCGAGAGGCAGAGATCGGGCTCGAACCACGTACCTCGTGGTCAGTAAATTCGCGCTCTAACCACTGAACCATCTTGCCCGGGCAACGATAATTTGCGCGGACTGTGACCATATTCTATCCCCAACTATGTTTTTGATCCCGACTTCTAGTGCAGCATGATAGTAAGAAGACGAAACCTTCGACACAATTGTAATGCTCCGGAGAGATCGGGCTCGAAGCAAAGGAGCTTCCGGTCAGTAAATTTTGGCTGTAACCAATGAGCCCTCTCGCCCTCCTCTGAGAGAAGCTGTGGTTGTCCAAGCTGTGTGACTCGACCAAATGAACGTTGAATATAATCGAGATCAGCAGATCTTATTGCTGCCAGAAAGGCCACACCAGCAATTAGATACTGTGATGGCGCACGCAGATCCCTCAAACACCGATTAATTAGGAGTCTGGAAAATGACAAACAACACTGGTGGGTTTCTGAGGCCCAGGAGATGGAGAAGGTTTTCGCTTCAGGTAACAGCCGCGCTCTATTTTAGCTCTTTCGATCAACTGGGTAAAAGAAGACAACTGTTAGAGAAGCTATATGCGAAAAAGACGAAACGGCGATTCACTCCCTCAGTCGTCTTGATCATCATCATCATCATCAATGACAGCAACATCAGTGTTGGCACTGATGCTTCACTGCCGTACAGTCGTCTTGAGCGATGGGCTGAGCACTTCAAAGAACAACTTGGCTGGTCTCCTTCAACATGACCGCTGGAAAAGCCCAGCGGGTACGAATGGAACATCGACACCGGCCCACTCTCAACAACAGCAATCCAGCGTGAGGTATCAATTACCCAACGCGACAATGCACCTGGTCTTGATGGTCTGCATCCCGCACTCTTCAAAGGTGGTGAAGCCCTGTTGAACAGTCTGACAACCATACTGCGAAATATTTGGAAGGAAAACAAAGTCAACCGAATGGAGCTCCTCGACCGGCACAAGAACGTCATCCGAAAACCATCGTGGCATCAGCCTGGTATCCGTCGCATCTGAGGTGCTCTCTGGCATTATTTTGTGCAGGTTCATCGATTATCAGGAGAGGTCGATTCTTGAGAATCAATCAGGGTTTCACTCTGGTCGAAAAGTTGTCGACCACATCGTTACCTTGAGACAGGTGCTTAAACGGCGCCACCCTATCAAACGTTCCACGTTGGTCGTTTCTGAAGATTTGAAGCTGCCTTTGGCTCTATCGATCATTAGTGTTTGGCGATCAAGAGTATCTTCCAAATTTATATCCCTAATGAGGGCACTGTATGCGAACTCCTGCGGAAGGGGTGCGAGTATGTAGTTCTAGGCTTGCTCAACATGGCAGTATCCCAGTCCTCGTGCTTCCGTCTGGTGTCATGATAGTTGGGCATCGAAAGGGCGCTACAGCTGAACGACACCCTGACAGACTGCAGTTCTGAAAATGAAAAGGCCGAACGGCACAAACGTGCACATTGAATTATATGGAGACCACCAACCACAAGAAAGTCATGGGCTCAATTGGAACATGTTATTATCAGGTACCGATGGAAAGCCTCAATTCAAGATTGCCATTCCCTCTGGGGTACGCAGTTCGACTCTGATCATGTCATTGTGCGCTTTCCGTCAAGAAACTCCATTCACCGACTTCGACAAGCCTCAGTAGCTCAAGATTATCGAGCTGATGAGTATGTTTCGATCACGCAGTGAGCAACGATAATATCGTCCAGCTGTAGCCTACTCTTGGTGCCTAGCCGCCATACCACCGGAAGGAAGCACGAGGACCGGGATACTGCTAGGTTGCCCAAGCCTAGTCGAGAGGCAGAGATCGGGCTCGAACCACGTACTTCGTGGTCAGTAAATTCGCGCTCTAACCACTGAACCATCTTGCCCGGGCAACGATAATTTGCGCGGACTGTGACCATATTCTATCCCCAACTATGTTTTTGATCCCGACTTCTAGTGCAGCATGATAGTAAGAAGACGAAACCTTCGACACAATTGTAATGCTCCGGAGAGATCGGGCTCGAAGCAAAGGAGCTTCCGGTCAGTAAATTTTGGCTGTAACCAATGAGCCCTCTCGCCCTCCTCTGAGAGAAGCTGTGGTTGTCCAAGCTGTGTGACTCGACCAAATGAACGTTGAATATAATCGAGATCAGCAGATCTTATTGCTGCCAGAAAGGCCACACCAGCAATTAGATACTGTGATGGCGCACGCAGATCCCTCAAACACCGATTAATTAGGAGTCTGGAAAATGACAAACAACACTGGTGGGTTTCTGAGGCCCAGGAGATGGAGAAGGTTTTCGCTTCAGGTAACAGCCGCGCTCTATTTTAGCTCTTTCGATCAACTGGGTAAAAGAAGACAACTGTTAGAGAAGCTATATGCGAAAAAGACGAAACGGCGATTCACTCCCTCAGTCGTCTTGATCATCATCATCATCATCAATGACAGCAACATCAGTGTTGGCACTGATGCTTCACTGCCGTACAGTCGTCTTGAGCGATGGGCTGAGCACTTCAAAGAACAACTTGGCTGGTCTCCTTCAACATGACCGCTGGAAAAGCCCAGCGGGTACGAATGGAACATCGACACCGGCCCACTCTCAACAACAGCAATCCAGCGTGAGGTATCAATTACCCAACGCGACAATGCACCTGGTCTTGATGGTCTGCATCCCGCACTCTTCAAAGGTGGTGAAGCCCTGTTGAACAGTCTGACAACCATACTGCGAAATATTTGGAAGGAAAACAAAGTCAACCGAATGGAGCTCCTCGACCGGCACAAGAACGTCATCCGAAAACCATCGTGGCATCAGCCTGGTATCCGTCGCATCTGAGGTGCTCTCTGGCATTATTTTGTGCAGGTTCATCGATTATCAGGAGAGGTCGATTCTTGAGAATCAATCAGGGTTTCACTCTGGTCGAAAAGTTGTCGACCACATCGTTACCTTGAGACAGGTGCTTAAACGGCGCCACCCTATCAAACGTTCCACGTTGGTCGTTTCTGAAGATTTGAAGCTGCCTTTGGCTCTATCGATCATTAGTGTTTGGCGATCAAGAGTATCTTCCAAATTTATATCCCTAATGAGGGCACTGTATGCGAACTCCTGCGGAAGGGGTGCGAGTATGTAGTAAGCTTTCTCCTGAGTTCACTACGTCCACTGGTGTAAAACATGTCCGTCCTCTCTCGCCTGTCATCTTTAACTTTGTTATTGATATGCGGCTTGAAATTTCGGCGATCGAAGTGCTCCCGGGAGGTTCACAGACGTAGCTTTCTCCTGAGTTCACTACGTCCACTGGTGTAAAACAAGACTGTCCTCTCTCGCCTGTCATCTTTAACTTTGTTATTGATATGCGGCTTGAAATTTCGGCGATCGAAGTGCTCCCGGGAGGTTCCCTCACAGACGTTGGGTATGCAGACGATATTACTCTCCTTGGTTCAGATCCTTCCTAAATGCAAACGAATTTAAATAACCTAAATAACCCTGCAACATGGTTTGGCATGCGCTTCACACCTGCAAAGTGTGAAAGTGCTGCTGCAAGACTGGGTGGGATCGAACCAACACCTCAGGCTTACAGGAGAGCCAATCAACGTGGTGGATAAATTTGTTTACCTGGGTAGCTGTATAAGCTTCGGTGGACTGGCTGGAGATGAGATTATATCCCGATTCGGAAAGGCCAGGGAAGCTTTCGCCAACCTCCGACAGCTATGGCGCCGACGTGACGTAAGCTTACCCTGCGATAGTGCTATTCATACTCCCTTATGGATCGGAAACATGGTCCCTGGGCGCAGATGACATACGGAAGATGTCAGTGCTTGGCTATCGGTGTCCGAACATTTGCCAGGTCTGGTGAGAACATTGAATTGGCAATGCTGAGGTACGCCAGGTGGTCCTAGGAAGAGGGAACTCTCCGGCCATACTGAATTACTCACGTTTCATAGGCTGCGCTTTAGGGCATGTTCTCCGCATGCCAGAAGACCGTCTGCATCACAGAACTTTTTTCCCGGGCCTGTACTGAGTGGAAGTGACCGAGAGGTGGACAGTATATGGCCTGCAAAAGAAGTACGAAAACAACAACCAACAGACTTAGTCGGGTCGGCAACCGCCCCCTCCCTGGATGGGTACACCGAGACTCAAATCACCAATGGTTAATGACACCGGTAGAAATGGCCAAGTGAGGCTCGTGCATCAACGCTGTCGCCTTCAATGCTTAGACACCCAGTACCGAACTGACTGTGTGCTATCGCCTCCAAGGTCTGGCTCTATGTCCCACACTACCAAATTCCGGTGATTGGAACTGTAGCACTGGGAACCAGTGTGCCTAGGGTACATGATTTATAGCTGGTAAATGATGATGGTCATCATCATCACTATCAGGGACATCAACGTCAGTGTTGACACTTATGTTTTAATGGCATAGAACCACAAAGTTTATCTTATCCCTAGAATTAAGATAAAATAAAAGTGTAGGTGACTGAAGGGACCTGGTGCAGGCCTGTTGCAAGTATTCTGAGGTGCCTACACCTCCAGGCGCTCGGTTAGACAATCTAGGCAGCGGTTGGAGGTGCAAGCACCTCAGTATGCTTGACATAGGCCAGCACTAGGTCCCCTCCCTCACCCACTCTTTTTCTCTTCTCTTCACTGTAGGGCTTTTAATACAATTATATATATATATATATATATATATATATATATAACTAAACGAACTTTATGGTTGTACGGCAGTGAAGCATCAGTGCCAACACTGATGTTGCTGTCATTGATGATGATGATGACTAGGCAGCACGAATGCCATTGTCATTGATGATCCAGCTGGACAAGCTTATCTGACCCTTAGCAGATTTTTTCTCCGCTGGGATTCTGTGAGGTCGTATGCTGTTAATGGAGCGTGTTCTATTTGTCGCTAGCACAGAGTTCAACACCTGGTCACTAGTCTGGAAGCAATAGTTGATATACTATTTGCTACCTCTTAAAGCCACCTGTGAGTGGCAACAGGAGTATATGAAACTGAAGACAGGGACTCATTTGGCGCTTGATTATTCTCCCCAAAACGCTAAACGCGATCGTTTGGATGATATATTCTCCGTGAGATAGTCTAGTTCAGCGAATGGAACATCCAGAAAAGATACAATAACTGTGTCTTGCCAGCTGGAGGGAGTGAAGCTTTTTACAATGGGTCTATGTGGAAATTTAATGTGCGAAGATATCTTCTACTACCTTTTGCGCACGTGATCTAAGTAACTTGGGGCTTGACAGTAACGGGTGTTGGTCTGCTTCTCCTGACATACTTTCTGTTATTTTTGTGTTTACTATATTTTCCTACCTAAGTAGATTTTGTATTTACTTATGTCGCCACAGACACGACCTACGTTATGATACCAGGTTATTCTGTAGATTGCGCCTGAGGATATCTGGCAGCAGGAACAGATGAAGTTCGACATACTACATGTTTCACAGAAGTCAGCTGCAGGGGGTGACAATGTTGTGAAAAATATTCCTCCCGGCAATCTAGTGGTCTTTGGATTTCCAACATTTTTGCCTCTCGTTTCGAAGTATTAGATAGAATAGTTTCCACAAGTACTCCTGACTGCACCACGCCACTCCATTGGTTGCACTTTCCAGTGCCGCCAAGCCTCCTCCATACAATCTTTCGTTTTGGCGAACGTTTAGCGGTGGTTTTATGCCCACAACCCAGAAGTACTTGCCCTATCGCATCAAGGACCTACTATCGCTATTCTAGGGCCCAATGGTTCTCTTATGTACGTCCGCACAGTGGTGCTAGCTATCGTGCGGCATCTTCTATGTGTAGCTCGTAGTTTTCAATATGAGGAATTAGTGTAGTGTTTCTGTGCTGTGGTGAAGATTGTCGGCTAATGAGATTATATCTGAGAAGCTGAGGTCCGCTCATCCAAAACAAGTCCAGGTACGACACATTTTCGTCAGCTCACATCATCTGTCCAACTTGTGCTACGACGAAAGACCGATTTTCCCGGCGTATACTTCACAAGACCGTTTTCTGTCGCCCAGAAGACCAAGGTTGCATATCTCGTCGACGCAGGGCAAGTAAAACATGACGAACCGCTATACTGGCCACTGTCAGCTTTGATATATTCAATATAAAAATATCAAGAAACAACAGCAAGTAAATACCTCTACCCGCGGTGCGCGAAGAGATTTATTGGAGAGTTGGATGTCTAGAATTGTGGTATCCAGTGCCGTACACACCTTGTAAGCTACACGGTTAGTTGCCATCTGTTAGACCAGCCTGTCATCACAAAGCCAACTGAACAAAAGACTTGGGTGACCCATAACTTCAGCTAAATACTTTGACACCACACAAACCATCATTCTTCATCAAGTTTCGCATGTTTTGATTCGTGTCAGATTGCAGCCGAACCTTCCGATTTGGCGTCCTCAGATGTATCGTGAGATTTAGCTATTTCGAGACATCCACTGGAAGTGCGCCGTGCTAGTACAGTTTCAGTTCAGTTTGCCTGCATTTCCTAGTTTGAGCTGTACGCTCGAACCCGTACCTGCCTTATCATTCATTTCGCCGTGCTCGGAGGGGCGGCAGACAAAAGGTTTTCTTATTACCGTTTATTGCTCGTACCTGCACGACTGCCTACTCAGTCTCTTGTCGCACTATCGGATTTGGGCATATCTGCTCAACCATGGGGTAATCTTGGAATCGTCCGTTCGGTAGAATCGGCTCTTATCATGCTCGACTGGTAAGCGAAATTTGGTCACAGGTTTGACCCGATATCATCACCAAATCCTGCTCATGCAAAAACGCATGTCCTCCTATACACGCGCTTCCGTGGAATGCCCCCATGCGCTGTGCCAATAGTTGTGTTATTCTTTCAGGTTTTGCAGCAGTGTGCACATCATCATCATCATCATAGTCATGGACAGCACAACACCATTATTCAAGACCGACGCCTCATTGCCGTACAACCATGATTTATTTGAAAGCCTTGTAAAGAAAAGAATAAAGGTGGACGGGGAAGGGACTTGGTGCTAGCTTACCACAATCATTCAGAGGTGCCTACACCTGCAGATACTCACTCAGGTAATCTGGATAGAAACTGATAACAAGAACGCCACTGACATCGATTAGAAACCATATCTAGTGGTGGCGCAGTGAGGATCACGCGGTCCCCATCTTGGAAGGCTGGTGGCACCGACAGCACCCAAGCGTTTCGTGATCTTCTTCATACTCCTCTGCCAAGTCAAGGGTTGGCCACCTCTTTGTTTACGCCACTCTGAATTGGACATGGAAAACAGCACACTCTTCTGCAAACGATGGATAGGCATGCGTAAAACATGTCCCAACCAACGCAGCTTCTGGTGCTGGACACATTCTTCAATGGAAGTACCCGTTGCACAACCGGACACTCGCTTCCTAATTGCCTCGTTACGGACACGCTGACACCAACCCATACGCGCAATGGTTCTGAGACAACGATTGTCGAATGCCTGAAGACTTCTCAGTTCCGCTGCTTGAATAGGCCAAGTCTCACAGCCATACAACAGAACAGTCCGCACTGTAGCTTGATACACACGTCCCTCGAGATTCAGGAATACACCACTCGGATAGGTGTCTCAAGTTAGCAAACGCGACCCGAGCCTTGCATTGACCTCTACCGTCACACTACAGTTGGAACTAATACAACTTCCAAGATACGTAAAATGCTCCACAACTTCGAGTGCTCCCCCCTAGATTGTAAGTGGCGTGTTCAGTGATGAAATGTTTGGGAGCATGACTCTACACCTTGTGGGTGCAAAGTGCATACCAAAGGAAGGAATGACTTTGGTCAGTCCACCCAAGCATACTTGTGCCCTCTCCCCTTCTTCGAACATGAGAACAATGTTGTCTGTATATTCCAGGTCGACAAGGTTTGCATCACCGACTATTTGAACACCGGGGTTTTTGAGGCCTTCCGGCGTTCATCTCATGATTTCATCGATCACAAAGCTAAACATGAATGGGAAGAGAGGGGATCCCTGACGGACACCACTTTGTCTACGGAGGCTTTTGGAGAGCTCGCCATATACTTTCACGTCCGGAAGCTTATTATGTTCACGAACGTCTGTGGCATTCCTTGGTGGGCAAGCGTGTCAAGCAGAACGGACTGGTCAACCTAGTCGAATGCGCCTCGGAAATCCAGGAGCACTAGAATTTTGGGTCGCTTGTACGTATGGTATTTTTCTAGCACTTGACGAAGTGTGAAGATTTGGTTAACGCAGCCCCTACCAAACCGGAATTCCGCTTGCTGCTCTCGAGTCAGCATCTCACGAGCTACAAGATGACGAAGCACAAGTGACGCCAACAGTTTCGTTGGCGTCAAGCTGATCCCCCTGTGGTTGCCACACACAGTAAGAGCCCTTTTTTGAATATGGGAACTATCACCGACTCTTCCCGGTTGTCTGGGACAGACTCCTTTCCCCAAATGCAAGCAAACAGATCGGACAAGCGTTGACCGAGGACTTCATCCCCGTCTTTGAACATTTCGGGTGGGAGGTCATCCGGACCAGAAGCTTGGTGTCACTTGATAGAACATGTGCAGTCGTAGACCTCCAAGGTTGTAGCTGGTTCTACGTTCGCCGTCCAGGGTTCTACTTCACCTGTAGGCTCTAGATGAGTGCCAGCTGGTGGCCACGATAATTGTTGTTTGAAATATTCAGCCCACTGTTCGAGGCGTTCTCTATTCGAGATGGTCATTCCATCCTGATGCTTGGTGGTTTCGCTCGTAGGTGGTTTCCGGGCACCGGCAGCACGGATCAACTAAAATAATCTCCGGGCACTTCCGGCTTTCTTGGCCTCTTCCGTTTAATTTGATATCAGGTGCCTGGGTGCACCTGGTAATGCCGTGCCAAGGACGAAATCTCCAACACTATGCAAAGACGTGGCAATCTCATCCCAATGAGTTCACATCTGATAGAACATTTGGAAGATTCTGATTAGTTCGTCTAACATCCGGATCTGCCGGACCTTCAGTTCCCAAACGATTTCTCCGCGTGTGTTCCAAAACGACCGGCAGCCAGTTGTGTACCCGTGCCATCGGTAACTGATTGCAATGTGGTCGATTTGAGTCTGTGGCCGGCCTGTTGTTGGACGACGCCATGTGGCCAGATGACTTCGGTTATTTCGGAAGTTAGTTCTGTATAAAAACAGCCTGTGATCAGCACACAGCTGAAGCAATCACTCACCATTGTCCGTACGTACCGAGTCCAATCCATGTCGACCTAATTGAGTCTCAGATACGCGAAGCCTGTCTTCTCCGGCAACCACTGCGATGTCTGCGCTTTTAGCTCACCGCAGCGGGACCTTCAGGGCGTTGTAAAACCTGTCTTCGACGGCATGAGATCTGCAGCCAGTCAGAGCGTAAGCGCACACGACAAACAGACAGCGATCAGCTTCACGCTTGCGAGACTCCTTCACAGACGTTGCCAGACGAACCGCACAGAGGCGACTATCAACAGGTATCCAGTCAAGTAAGGATACTTCCATCCGGTGACTTAGGACGATACCAGCCCGTGCACATCCCGACGCAGCAGCCTCTGGATCACCAGAGGTGCGCAGCCGCAAGCGAATGGAGACTGACGGAGCGGTTAACTCAATCACTGTGCTTGGATCTTGAATTCTCGCTTCTGAGATACAGCACACATCAATGCCAAGCGAGTGCAGTGTGAGTGCAAGAGCAGCTTGTTGTCCTGCTTGCTTCAGAATGCGGACCTTGAACGCTGCCAGACAGACTGGGTGTCGAGGCTTGAAAATTGATTTGGCTATACCTTAGGATGTCCGCGCCATGTGACGAGCAGATGCTGCACGCAAAACCGATGCGTGACGAACAGAGTCATCAGTCGTAAGTGCTGGGACTACAAGAGGATGATTACTAATAGGGTGTGGAGAGGGAGAGGAAAAAGTATGTGAAAGAGAAAAAAGAGAGGCGTCAGCAGTAGCCTGTTTTCGCTTACCCGCCCTGCTGTATGCAGCAAGTAAGGCGACCCAGCTGATGGCACCACGAGATGGCCGATGTGGCATGAGTTTACTTGTATGTGTGCGGTTCCTGGTTTTACGTGGGCTGGGATACTGTCAGGGCTACCTCACCTAGACAGGAGGACGATTAGGGTCCTCAACCAAAGCCTTTGGCTCAAAAGCCCGACCGCGGGACACCGCTGTTCGGCTGTAAACGCAAATGCATTACCATTTCTACGGAACAAGTCGCCACATGTTCCACCCCCCTAACCTGGAGGACCGGGAGACTGTCCGTCGGACCTCTAGCCATTGAGCAACCTGGTATAATAGACTGAGTGTCGCGGGGACACCCCCAGTATAGCTCAATGGGTCGATGAGGTGCGCAAACCGTCACACCACGCTAAGGTCCAACCTCTTCGTGACGAACAGCGTCCACCATTCATAACGAAGATTGCTGAACTAATGGACGAATACGAAATTCCAAAGCGTGAGTCGTGCCTTGAGTAGCCGTAGATGATAAAATCCATCTGTTACCGGGTCAGCTACAAGAAACTGAGATTTGCTCAGCCTGTGTCGGCCTTTGCGTTGGGTCGATCACCCAGGGGATCAGTAACCCTAATGGGAAGCATTTTTTTACTGCTGAGTGTTTTTTCTTCAGTAAAAGCAGGGGCTCTTCACTCATTTTATTCGTCGTTGTAGCAAGCTAGATTCGTCAGCGTATCACCTCCCCTTATTTCTATGGATGTACGATGCTGCTTTACGCCAGTAGACACGAATTTACCACCGGAGACCACGAATCCGCTCCCGGGCAACTTACAAGTCTACACGAATCAAGTTGGTGGACATGGGATGTTTGGGAACAAAGGTCGAAGTAAGTCATCGGCCATGTTCCATTTTGCTTGACAGAGGCCTCTAATAGAGGGAAAAGGCAGCAGTTTTTATTGCTTCCCAGAATAGACCATCCACTGGTAGTCGGTTTTGAGGATTTGCTTAAGCACCGCAATCCATGAGTAGCTGATGGTACTTTTTTTATGCTGAACGCGTTATCAGTTGTATGTCAGGAATTTCCCGTTTCATCTGTCCATTCTATTGTGTATGGTATGATATGCTCCTGCTTCCAACAACCTCCTCATCCTGGTGGAAAGTCTTGAGCGTTCTGTTAAAAGGCTGCTCTGTTTGAATGGACTTGAAGAGAACAATAATCCAGCACGATACCACCATGCGCGGTGAATTCAGGTCAAAACTTCTCACAGATCATTTGTTAAGACCCTGACTTACTGGCTAATGTGTTTTTCGGGACGATTCTTGTTGACCATTTTCACACTCCGTCGGTTTTGCCAGGTTTTGGATTTCTGAACTGATTCGTCATAACCTTGTGATTGAAGACTGCAGAATACACAGACATATTGCACTTTCCGTTAGTACTCCCTCTGGGCTATCCACCAATCCTATTGGTGGTCATACTTTCTCACAGTTAGCCGCAGAGAAAATAGAGTGTCCCGATCTCCCGTTCGGACGTTTTTGGTGTATTGCAGTTCTCTTTCGTCAAACGGAGATTCCAGTGCCTGTATGTTTTGAATTATTTGGTTCTGTTCATCTTGAACGACAGCGAAGTGTGTTCCATCTCCTTCGTTTGTTGACAACAATATTGCCTACTTCTTGCCTCTACTATCTCAGTTTTTGATGTTGTTCCCGCGTGGCGTGTTCTCGTGCTTCAAGTTTTGGATTTATTCTTGTATTCCACGGGCAGAAACTTTGGTTCGTAAGTTGATTGATTTATTTGCTTTGGTCATTAATTCGACTTGAATAAGAGTCAAGTAGAAAAATACAGACTCGATAATAACTACTCGCTAAACTGTGCCTGACTGTTGTTCTCAATCCCCATGTACTTAGAATATTCCGATCGATTTATTGCACTGTTTGCTTTGTCATTTATTCCGTTCTTCCTTGCTTTTTCGTACTTTCTTGATTCAACCGTTCGCTTCTTGGCTCTTTTAACGCACCTAAATCATTATGACTGCGTAATCTGTGTTGAACTCGGCTATCATTTTTTTCTTGCAAAAGAAGGTATTACACCTTTTCTGTCCGATGCTTCCATTTACGGCAAACGCTTGCTTACTTTGATTTCTCAGCTTCGGAAGGTTAACCTAATCCAACCTAATCCAATCTTCGGAGCATTGCCCGAATCTGGTGGGAACACCGGATCAGCAATGCTGAAGTACGTCGAATGGTATTCGGGAGAAATAACACCCTCGATAGATGAACTGATCACACTGCACAAGTTGCGCTGGCTTGGCTACGTGTTGCGTATGCCAGTCGACCGACTTCCTCGAAGGGCTCTTTTCGCCCAACCATGTGAAGGGTGGAAGAGAGCCAGAGGCGGCCAAACAATGACTTGGCAGCGAAGTGTGAAAGCCATTACCAGCAAACTCAGCTGCGCTGGTCACTGCCGCCTTCCTGGATGGGGACCCCGAGACGGGCCACATCAGTGGCTAGAGACATTATCAGACATGGCCCAGTCGCGCCCTCAATAGCGCTCGTGCATCCAAGCTATTGCCTTCAATGCATAGCTCCTTTTCCAAACCCCCCCCCCCCTTGACAGCCCACTGACATTGGCTGGATTTATGCACCAATTTACCAGCTCGCGCGTGCAATGCGCAGCTACCTCCCCCTCCCCAAATCATCGGTGAACGAAAATGCGGCAGCTACAACCACTGTACGACGAGTACGCGGTTCTTACAGCTGACAATGATGATGATGAACCTAAGCCAATTACCTTCGTCCTTGACTACCCCAAAAGGCTGAGGTGCCTCGGCATCCTTACTAACGTGTCTCGAGCAGATTCTCAAGAGGGCCTCAATATCAGTTGAGATGTTCAGAGTGGGATACAACGCACCGGATTTCTGGAAGCTAGTTGGGCAACCCCCATTGGATAACTTATTTTAACGTCGAGTTATCCTTTGATTTCTGGTATGGTATCTATCATTCTGCTTTAGGAATTTGGTTGAGACACCTAATAGAAATGTGCGGGGAAAGTGTAGTTACCACTGTCGTTGTTGCTGAAGAAAATTATTCGGCTGAGTCACCTTCGGTTCCCTTGAAATGGGCTCTCGAGGTAGAGGACTTTCACAATTCATTGCAGGCCAATCAATCGAGAGGCTTTTGGACGTCCTCTGCAAGTAGAGGTCAAGTTTCGTTCGCACACAGTGAGCAGTTAAAAATCACATTTATGGGCCAAATAAATGAATATTTCGGACCCCATCTGACATAAGTTGTACCCTTTCTTTTCGTGATTATTCTAGAGGATACCTCGCGTTAGAATAGGCTTTTCTCCATAGACTCACCAAGCCTCATAAGAGAGGGGGTCATCCCTAGAAGAGTCAACAGCAAGTGTTACCGAACTAATCCTCATTCCCGGATAGGCTATTTCCCATCCATCTCCTTGGAAAGTCTATGGTTTTACATCCAAAAGAAGGCTTTGAACCTAATAGTCTCAAAAAAACACTTCAAAGGCAGGTAACGAATCTATACAATATCTGAGCATTGGGAACTCTAGCCAGTATTGATGACACCCAAAGTGTCGGCTTCCAGTCTTTGTTATCCGTCCACTCATCATTATGTAACAAAATGCTAATCGATTTGGTTCTCATGAGAGTCTCAACTGAATCTCTCGTCTATGGTATTCTTCAACTTTATGAAAATATATTCCGATATCTCGAATATCGTGCCTACTGAAATATGGAGTGGCCTTTGTGCAGCACATTCAGCTGAGGGATATCACAGACGAAAGTAGTCTCTCGTGAAAACCAAATTGATTTGCAAATGAGTGTATTTGTCCAAATCGGTCCAATTTGGATCCACGCAGAACATAAGTTTGGCGAGAACTCGGGATTGATGAGTCCCAAGAAGGGCGAAACCGCTGGTGTGTTGTTGGAGTTTTCAGCAACCTTGTGAGTAGTTTCCTGTATAGAAATGCTTTTCCCTTATTCAAAGAAAGACCACTCAATCAACCCCACAACAATATCTTGATAATCATCCTGATCTTTTAACCGAGGTTGTTTTCTTTATCATGTCGATTGTGTTGAGGAATGTTCTGTTCAGTTGACCATTAGAACGCCAGAACGTCAGCGAATCCTACTCACTTTCGAGTGTATGAATTTGGATCCCGTTTAACCTTGAACTCTATGTGTCTTTTTTTATTCCTTTTGCTTTGAACCGCTTCGTACACGCGTACACACTATCACCAATGCGTTCTGCCGTTTTTTCCACTTTTATCCACATTGCCACACTATCTCATTTATTCAGGCCACCCTGACCTGGTAGCCAGTAAACCGGAACTTTCACTACTGAGTCACAAGCCTTAACATTTTTTAATTCATAGCCAGACGAACAACGTAACAATAGATGCTCAAATTTCCTGTTAGCCCGCTGATCAACTTTCTAACAGCCTGTCGTTGGTGCTAAATGCTGCCTGCCTGATATTTTAGGTCTTCAGATTGACAGTAAACGGAAATCGGTACAGAGTTTTGTAGCCAGTGAGCATATTTTTGTATGCGTGTTTTTCAGGATTATGTCCGTGTTGAGTATCCGGATATACACTGGCTGACACGTCATGAAACTGGAAAAAGCAGCGAGTCAGTGATGGTCATTGTGGGGGCGGTACGCTTTGTTCGGTTAATTGCTGTAATGATCTGGAGAACGCTGCCCCAACACCACGCGGTTTGGGCGGATTTTTTGAAAACCGCCTTCAATCGTTGGGCGCATGGGCGGTAAATTGATTCGTGAACTTGTTCCGGTTACAGGTCTACAGCCTTCCTGTCAAGTGTTTGCACGAACACGCGCGAACCCCTTTTTCTCGTCGATATCTCCGGTTACAGGTCTACAGCCTTCCTGTCAACTGTTTGCACGAACACGCGCGAATCCCTTTTTCTCTTTGCACCCTAATGAAAGCCGAACATTGTAAACCAATCTCATGAAGCGTTGAGTGGTACGATGCACCGATACTGTTTGTGCCAAAAGGAATGTCTGATATGGTCCGTTTCAGGTTTTCGACCATGAAACGTGTCCGTGAAGTGCGACGTTTCATTAAACATCTTTTCTTGGCTTAGGATACTGCCCATAAGGTTTCTTGAAACTATCGAGCAGCTGATTTCTCCCCTGTTGACGTGCATCAAGTAGGTACATCCCTCTAGTTCTCACCGATCTTACGTTGTGCTTGGGCACTAAATTGTACAGAAGTCAGTTTGATCGGTGAGTTTTCATCTTCAAGAAATGAGCAAGCCAGCGAGACTGATTGCGGGAGATTTTACGGCGCGGTTTTGAATTCCTGAGTTTCGTAGAGCTCAACTCGGCTGCGGTGGTGAAGCTTTGTTGCCACCAAACTCACAAGCCGCTCTGTAAACAACTTACAACGATACCTCTCCGGCCCATGCAAAGTGCACTTCTCTCAAGGATATACGTATGTCGCGCCATCTTTAGAACTACGAGCTTTTGGCGGGCTCTATCATTACCTTCGCACTTCGGAATGGTTTATCGTAGACACGTGTTCGGAAATGGTAATCCTGAATGTCAGATCTGGCATTTCTCTGGGGGGAGCATGGACCAAAGAGACCAGCATAAATGAACAGGATGGATAATCCTCTCTCAACATGTCTACATCGTCCACACAGTCACTAATCCCCTGCCAGCAGCTTTATACCGTCAGTGTTTACCACACCTGAAGTCAAAAACGAAAGGGAGAGATTAATAAATGATGACGAGGGCTGATCGTTTACTCGTACCTTGTGTGATGTGTTCACGTGGAGCACCTTCAAGTTTCTAGAGAATTTCGTCGGTTCACCAGTATGTGGAATCCGATCAATCCAAACAACAACTCGATAGAACATCTTGAAATGACTTTCAGAGTGACGCGGAAACACTTCGCTACTCCCCTTTGGTGATCACCTCGTATTTCAGATCACTGTGCCATATTGTTCCTGGCTTTATCAAGTCACATTACCGTGATGGTGTTTTTTCTGCTTTCTCGTGATACTCCGAGCCACCTGGCGGTCACAAAACACCCGCATGACGTTGGCTGCATTCAATATTTTATTCAGTTGTAAGAATCAACACTATAAATCATTCACGTGATGTGTGGTCAGGTTCGTCATCACGTTACGCCACCATATTGTCATTTGGTACTTCAGTGGGACATATGCGACGAGCGAACTGGATGCATCTGCCAGGGCTGTGTCTATAAGAATGAATGTCAGCCTGCTTTATTCGTCCGTGTGATTCGATTAATTGTCCTGACCACAAGCAGCTGTCCTAAGTCGGATGTCTTTCGCACCACACTCAGCGTTCACTTAACCACTCTCTGGACGTCGCTAAAGTACCGCTGTATGGTGGAAGGTTCCAACCTGCATAGGGATCTATCAAATAAACTTTGTGATATATTAGAAATCGTCCGGTCTATTTTTTTCTTCTGTCAATGCAATCAGTGGCTCAACTTCAGTGAACATTGATCGATTTTTAATAACAATACGTTTAGCTTTATAGGCGAAAGGATACATTTTGGTGTTTCCTCGGACCATTGGTTACGGTGTGTGCTGTTCTAGTTTTGAAAAGTGTCGTCAACCAGCCAAGGAAAAGACGATAGTGTCAAACGCACTGCCCAATCTTTCTCAATCAGTTTGACGGACTCATTAAAGGGGAACCGGACTTTGCTTGTCTTGACAGAGGTTAGCGGTGATCTGTCCGTTATCTGCTACACAGTCTGAAGTACCGTTTGTGAAAGATGGTTGTGCTGCATCTGGCGACTCATAGCGGGTGTTTTTTTGGTTTTCCATTGGGCAGGGGAGATAGGTTACAGTGCCCCAAACATATTCTTCACTGTAATATATTCACGAAATCCTAAGTATTCTCTTCCAGCTACTTCATTACCACAATTCAAAATGCTGGTTCGGGGCGCACAGCCGTGCCCAAAAAACCCATTACGCCTGCCCAGTGACTTGAAGGTTGTATGACTACGTTCGTCTGATCAATAATAGGGCAGTATTCCACCTTTGAAGCTTTGAATGACAAAATACTCATGGTGAATACGATGAATACCCACAGGCCATCCCAGGACCGCACTATTTTCAGCTTGGACGTGGGTTAGTATCTGCCCCATTCGGTGCCCTCATTGGTGGCGTCAACCACCCGTGAGAACGAAACCCCTACGGGACATGGCCTGATATGAGCCATTTAGCTGTACGCTGAGTTCCGTTGAATCACATCCGTTCGGATGAGAGTTAGTCATTTTGGCTATATCGGAATTAGGGAGGCTCGGTATTATACAAAGTAGATTAATGAAGCTGTGGAATTGGCGAAAACATTAGAGGAAACTGGATCAATAGATAGCAGCAAGCTAAGTGCAATGAAAAAAGCAGAAGGCCTGCGGACAGAATACAAATACTCCGTGTTCGAACTGCGAATCTGTTTACATTGGCTTCATCGTTGCCTTGAACGCTGGCTGTGTTCAATTCTTCTGGTGCTATCTTTCAAACCAGTTGACTATTTTTTTATCCACTTTCGAGGCTTTGCGGACCTGAAATTTAACGTTCATCCTTCCACATTTTGGGTGAGATGGTCCATGTGGTTAGGGCGCGAATTTACTGACTGGAAGGTCCGTGGTTCGAACCCGACATGTGCCTCTCAACTTCCCCTGTCTAGGCTTGGCAACCTAGCTGGCAGTGTCCCAGCCCTCGTGCTTCCTTCGGGTGACATGGCAGCTAGGCACCGAAAGGGTGCTACAGCTGAGCGATTTTTTTCAAGTACCCAGTGATAACTGAAGTTGCATTAGTTCGGCCTAGACAGAGGAAGTTGAGAGGCATATGTCGGGTTCGAACCACGGACCTTCTGGTCAGTAAATTCGCCCTCTAACCACTGAGACATCTCGACAAAACACGCGGCCGGTACGTTTCTTATTGGTCATCCTATTACAAGGATACATTTTAATATTTCTCCCAAGGTGTTTCTTCCATAAAGAATGACCGTACTTGAAATGCTTTGTGATATAGGGTGAGTATAACTCCATTAACAACAAATCTCAGGTAAGCACTCATTGTATCATTTGCAGTTTTTTTCCACTATGCCTAGTAGATCACGTGGGGTTCAAGTTAGCAGGATCTGATTCTTCCTCGGGTGAGTTAGTCCTGTTTGATGTGCACGATCATGTTCCTGATGACCGTACAGTTCTTCCCCTTTATCTAAAATTGCACGGAAACACAGAGTGTGCGTTCCATATTGGTTTAGTCATCTTGTGGCACTGGACTACACATGTAGCATTCATTGGTGCTACGTCGGCCTACAGGTGAACCGTGGTTTCTTGGCTTCGACTTTTGTTGGACGGGACCAATGACTCGGTCCGTGTCTGGAGAAGTTTCAAAATTACTGTTTCGCGGAGACTACCCTGTTGATGCTCAACTTTGCATGAGTAACTCAGTCCCTTTATTCGGTAAATCAATCACGTGATTTGTTCGGGCTCTGAAAGTACGCCAACACAATAATCAATGAATCATCACCCATCGTCCCACTGGAATGTTCAAACTAACGAAACCGGTGCTCATTATTTACTATCTAGCAAGTTTTGGAAAACAACAACCAATTTATCTCCTGTAAACCATGTAACATGAGTAAACATGTCTCATCTGCTACAGTTTGGATTACCAGAAAGTGGGAGATACACTCAAGCATTGAAGGTATCAGGAAGGTCAGTTTCCTCAAAGCAACCACTGAGTACCTGAAATCTACCGGGACTCTCAGCTCCGCTAGATGTTGACCAGACAGACAACGCCCCCTCAATATGCAGCACGTCACAGCCTTGTATCAAACCCAGACAGCGTGAGTCTGCGTTGATCAAGATCAGACAAAGCCCCGCAATATGCAGCACGTCGCAGGCTCGTACCAAAGCCAGACGCATGTGTCAGCATTGGACCAAGTTCAGATAGTCTCTCCAATAAATAGCTTGAGACCGTTGTACTTTTATACTCGCTTGTTCGGAATATAGTGTTCCCTTGTGTGAGTCTTTTTCGGCATTAGGCACTAGAGCGGGTCAGAAGTCAGATACAACAGATTGGCGAATCAGCAGATATAACAGAAGGTGATAGCCTTGATGCACGAGCGCCACTGTGTGGAAGGGGGCTCACTGTTTGCCTTCCTGGCATGTTTCAGCCTTAGATAACTAAGTTTCAGTCAGTTTAGATCGCGGGTTCATTGCACACCGACCACGACGATTAAGTGATACCCTTAGGCCGAGTTGGGGAACAAATATTCAGGAGGTAAACCATCACTGGCCTGGCACTAGACTTGAATGTGATCGAAGTAAAGCCTTTGTTAAAAGCATGTTCCTTTATATTAAACGAAAGAATTCCTTATCAAACTTTCCTACAGTTTTAATTGTCTCTCTCTGTACTGGCGCATCCAGCCATATGGTATTGACAACTAAGATTGTGTGGATTCCTGTTGTACTGTTTGTTGACTGAGCTGATCGACATGACGTCATCAGTGCTCCATTCTGTAGCAACCTGATGCGTTGCGTCATTTGATGTAATGAGGGCATAGTCTCCTCAAACAAACGATACAGTGCCGCAACACACAACCAAAGCCGCGCGAGAGTACGGTGGTAGATAAGGCTTCTTACTTGTGATTGGCTCAACGGATGCAAAAAAATTGTTCAACTGTAGCACCCTTTCAGTGCCCAACTGCCATGCCACCTGAAAGTTGCACGAGGGCCGGGATACTGCCGGGTTGCCCAAGTCCAAACAGGGGAATTCGAGAGGCAGAGGTCGGGTTCGAACCATGGACCTTTCAATGAGTGAATTCGCATCTTAACCACTTGGGCCATCCCGCCTCCAACCGATGCAATATAAGACAATTATTGAACGTGCATGGTCATGGTACATCCAAGGATTCTTATGGGAAGTTGTGAGAGGTAGGTAGCCAGTGTGTTACCGGATTACATCGCTGTCAAACCAGATTGTGCAATCAACGACTCGTAATCCAAGATCCGGGTAGACGGAGAAAGTCTTCGGCCCATTGAAGAATAATCACCTTGGTCGTCTGCGAGATGCGCTGTTTGATGCAGCTTATTTTGCTGGAATGATATGTTTCGGGTACCCCTTTGGTTGATACCGATTCCAACCAAGACTCATTTCATATTCCTTGGGCGTAGGGGAGCGACGTCCCCTAGCTAACTACTTCGCCTTTGTTTTATTTTCTTCAAATTGATGTTGGCTAGCATGTGATGCATCGTGCCTTCTCATCAGCAAGGCAGTCCAATCCGTTATGTTTGTCATCAAATTTGTCTTAGATTTACCGTATGCGTGAGGTTCCTCACTCCATTTGCCTCTTTCCTACCTGTTTGATTCTCTATAGTGTTACATTCACCGGCGCTCGGAGCTGTGTACAAGCCCGTACAAAAGTATCCGAAGGGCCCTCATGAGGTAGACTTTTATAGACTCCTGTTTAATCCGGACTGTGAAGATTCAGTGTTTCTCCAACTGCGGCCGTTCCTACCAAAATATCGAGGACTTTATCACCACCCCTCTTCTAAAGGTAAGACTTCAAGGTCTTGGTGTTGAACTGTTCCCAGTAGATACCAGCAAACGCGCTCAAGAATACTCGTACTTTTGACGCTTTAGCACAAAATGCTCAAGAAAATTAACTCCATCTCTCAGCTTATCTGCGATAACTGGTTGACACGGGTTAGAAAGTTATAGTGCTTCACCGTTAGGGTCTCCACTATCTGTTGTTAGAATCGCATCATTAATACATCAGTACGTCCGATAGTTTTACGAACAAAACAACTCACCCTCGGTAGAGGAGCCTGTCATCCACTGCGGTGAACAAGTCTTATTCTTTGTCAGAGGAGCATCAAATCAATTAATTTATCGTCTATAAACCATGAGTATATTGGTTCCAGCTGCTGCACTTTCGATCGCCGGGAGGTGAGACACACAGACAAGCATTGGAAGCCGTGACGTTCAGTCAGCTTGGGGACTGGGTAGCTACTCATCTGTAGGCTCATTTGTAGATGTACGAGCGCCACGCTATTTGGTCATTTTTGCCAGGGTCCCCATTCATGGAGGAAGCGGTTGCCAACTTGATTCATTCTACTGGTTACTGTTGCCATGCTGCTTCGTGGCCAGTTCACATACTGTCCCGACTTATGAGGCATGGGTAATTTGTCTCTCACCGGAAAGTTCCTTCTTCAGCATTACTCATCTGGTGTTTCCAACAGACACTGATGGTCCAACATTGACATCTTTCGTGTCTTCTCTGCGCTCGGAGGCCACTCCTCTGATCCATAAAGTGGTATGGACTGCACTGCCGCAGTCTAAACTCTGCGTTAGCATAAACTGAAGTCACATCGTGACCATAAATGTCCGGGGTTGGCAAAAGCTGCTCTGACCTTCATGATTTGATAAGCGATCTCACCTCCAACCACCGGAACTTATCCAGGTGAACAAATTTATTTACCACGTCGATTGACTCACCTGAAAAGCTCTCAGTCTTGTAGTAGCAATTTACACATTGCAGGTGTGAAGCGCATACCAAACCGTGAGGTAGAATTATTTGGGCTACTTAAAATGACTTGAATTTCTGAAGAATTTTAACCAAGGAGAGTAATATCGTCCGCATACTCAATGTCTCGGAGGAAGCTTCGCGGAAGCATTTCGACTCCCGAGATTTCGGGGAAAGGCAGAGCACAATAGCGAAGCACACTACTGGACGCTGTGAACTCAGGCTGAAGCTTGTTATATACTCTTATCCGTCCACAGGAGTCCGCTTAGAGTGCCTTCATAAGGGATATAAATTTGGAAGGATCACCGTTGATCGCCAGACACCTTCAACGTTCTCAACGATCGACAAGGTCGAATGCAGCTTTCAGTCCAGAGAAGCGATCGACGTGGGGCGTTTGAAAGCGTGGCGCTGATCAAGAATTTGTCTCGAGGTAAATATATTGTCGGCAATTTTTCGACCAGGACAGAGCCCAGATGTCTCGTGAAAAATAATGCTGGAGAGCGCCTTAGATGCAAAGGATACCAGGCTGATACCATGATGGTTCACAGATGACGTTTGAGGTGATTCATCCCAGTGGTACTCTGTTTTCTATCCAAATTTTCTGCAGCATGGACGCCAGACTATTCTCCGGGACTTTACCATCTTTGAAGGCTGCGGGGTGCACATTGTCTTAACCTTGAGCCTTTGACTGAAAAGGCTGATTCACAAGATGTGGAATTTTGTTCGGGGATCCAGCTTCTAGTCTCTGACTGAAAGGTGTGAACCGCTAGGCAGCTGTTTCTAGGGCTGCCTAGGGGACCTTTTCCGAGGACAAAGACTGAATAATCCGACTCGCTAATCTTCAGGGAGCCGTCCTGGTCTGAGGACGCAGAGAGTAATATAGTACTGTTCCACTCTTGATGCGGCTGTGCCTAGCAGTTGGCTTTTGAACAGCACTAAACTTGGTTTTAAAAGTATTTCGACCGTATTAGATAACCCGCCGGCGGTCAACCGTTTAGTGACCGAAGTGTGCGGTTTTTAGGACCGACCTTTCCTATCCTATCCATAAATGTGGATATGCTGATCGCCTGGGGCAAAGGCTGTAATGCCTTCACACTCCTATCGTAAAGTACCTCCAGACCGCCTCGTAATACGATTTCATGCAGTACGGGAACTCGTTTTTCTTCGTCGGGCCACTCCTTGTTGGCCTTTCTGGAATCATTGTATCACAAAAACCCGACTACCGGGATAAGGTGACCGTTTTGGGTCCGAACTGGGTCATAGGACCGCCTGCTGTATTTCATTCGGCTACCCGCTGTACGGGAACGCTCCTAAAATCACCACCAACTAAGAAATCTGGAGTATCAATCTGTCTTGCTGGTGACTAACATCTGTCGGAATGATGACTGCACAGGACAAGTGTTCAAGGAGAGGGATACGCGGGTAGTGAAAACTGATGATTATCTGCCGTGAGTGTCAGATGACCGCGAAAGGCATGGCCTGGGTTACATGGTGAATGGTGTTTCCGTAGCAGAATTGTCTCCTTCGTTGTGTGGCTGTCCGGACTGCCGCCCATCACTTATTTCAGTGCAAGCTATTGTCTCCAGTACGTGGTCACCTCCATTCCCGTTGTTTCCGTTGCTGCTTCATGAAGAAACACGGCAGCTTGAACCGCTCTACCTGGCTGATACACGATTCTCAGGTGATGTAGTGTGCCAATTCCCAACAGTCTGCTACAACCTGCTGTTCTCCTTCTCTGATGAGGTTAGTTACCCTAACAGACCTGGTCTCCGATGAAAAGTTTCGTTTCTTGTAACAATGAGTCGTAGACGCTTCGGTTGGAGAATCTGTCCCCTTCTTTCCTGAACCCTACTGAGCTCCATATCATCACACTGTATATTTATATACAAATTTATATACCATGGATGCCAATTTATACGGGCTCTTGATAGTCGCAACCGTTTTCCCTTGTTCTTCTGTTCACCGCCTATCAGCGCTGTATTTGGGCATGAGCGATGTGCTGGAACAGCTGAAACATCCCTCTATTTGCGATATAAAGATTGGACGAAACACCTACGCTCCAGATGCTTCTGCTAAGAAAATCGCTGTGGAGAAGGCCAAGTACAAATGGCAAGCAGAGTTGGGATTTCTCATCTCGGCCATACGGGTAGGTCGGTGCCTCCGTTCAATTTAGTGTATTTACCTAACTTTTGATCCGAGGCAAACTGTGCTAGCCACACACCTCTTGGAATAGCTTTTCAGTTTTTACCAATCCGAAATGTAGTTCACTTTTATAGATCCCTATAGTGACAGCAACTAAACCCTAGCTCGACAGGTTCCTTAAACCGGGTGACGTATCCGAGACCTGTTGGTGAATCTCATTGTGGAGTATTCGAACGGATTCGACCAAGGGTCTGTTCAGACAGGTCTTCACAGATTTATGCCGCACCTCATCACTATCATCACTGACGTAAAAAGCAGGCGAGAACACTGATAGTGACGTGGAAACAGTGACGTACGGCGCTTGTGACAAGCTCTCAGGGCACTGCCTCAAGTTTCCTCTTTCTAGTGTTCCGCGGTTTCCATTGAACAACTCGGTTAGCTGATGATGACTAGTTTATGTAAGTAGTTCGACTATTAACGAGTATTAAGTTGACCGTTTAAGCAAATGAGTGATTATATCCAGAAACGTCTCTACGTGTGCTCAAACTTCAAGTTTCTGAAATAGTTTCGAGACCAATCCATGTAACATTGGGCATTGATCGCGATCGTGAATTAGGAATTCCAAATTAGTCCGATACGATCATCACTCAGAGCTTGTCAAACTGTCTGTCGGTACAAGAGGATGGACAGTCCCGTAGGACACCTTTTTCTCTAAATTTCAAACGACTGTCTTTTTCTGTGTTGAAATCTGATGGATTTGGTATCTGCATCTTCGTTTCAAAGGTTGTTGACTCATCAGATGATCTTCGCCCCGTCTATATTGATCGCACTTTTGGACGCTCTCTCAGTCCTTCAACCGTGTACGACCACGGTGAGCTCCTTTCATGTTTTTGTCGATTTGTGTGACCCAAAGACTTTTTTGCGAACGCCGTTCCTGTGGAGTTTCTTGTCTTTATGCACCCAGGTTATCTATATTCCTTAATTTTACACCGATAGTGATTTCCTCCCTTGCTGGGCATTCCACCCCTAGAAGACATCAATATTCAGACGAACCCTTTAAGTGGTCTTTCCAAGAGAATGCAACTGCAGCTCTGTAATCGGTGAGACCCACTTGGTCAACAAGTGGGTCTTATCTATCTGTGATCTAGAACAAAAATCGTATGATTTTCATAAAAGAAGCTACTCACAAGGTTACTGAAAACTCTTCCACAGCCCACAACCGGTTTCGCCCTTTTTGGGGCTTACCAGGTAGGCACAGTCCCCGAGTTTCCGTCAACCTTATGTTCTACTTCAACCCACATTGGACTGACTTTTCTAAGTTCGTACAACTTGGGTTCAAATCACCGGTCGTAGGATGTCGAAGAGTTTTCAGCAACCTTGTGAGTAGTTTCCTTTATAAAAGTATACTACTATATCCCGAATATCTTACCAGCTGAGACATGAGGCGGCCTGTGTGTAGCGCATTCAGTTGAAGAACATCATAAACGAGGGATTCACTAGAGTCTCCTGTGAAAACCAAACCGATTTGCGAATGAGTGTATTTGTAAAAATCACTTGGTTTATATGTTGCTCTAATAACACCCGATATCGGTTCTCTTCCTCTAGTAAGCAGTTGATCAAATGTGATCAGATCTGATGGCGTTGACGCGAATTGGCTTCTCTAAGGACTAACCAGATAAGAACAATCCCACATTGACTGCTAGGTCACGATTCTGGTGTTGCATTTTTTTTGGTTAACTAGGGAGTAAATCGTTCAGGTGTAACGCCAATGTAGTGCGCGGTTGCTGCGCCACACGAGGTAGGCACGTGAGCGTGATTCTCCAACGTTATCACATTCTCGATAGGAGCGGTAGGAAGGCTAGTGGTGCAATGCTTTCAACTTTCTATGGCTTCTTCAAGTGCGCGCCCCATACGCCTCGTGATGGCGGGCCCGTGCGAGATTCTGTTTGAGTCTGCACTGCGCCTTGTACTCCAGCGTTGTTGTCCCACATCACACAGAGTTTAAATTCAACATTTATGAACCGGAGATGCCTCTCGGAGTCAGCAAATAAGAACATAAATTGGAGAAACATCCTGTCCTGCTGTTGCCCATCTCTGAGGTTGGACGGTCGCGAAGCCCTTAGTATAGGGCTATATGCACCTTGAGAGCTAGGTCTCATTTCATCTACATATCTGCCTCCGGTAAAGTTAGAAACAATGGGGCGAAATGCACTGAATAACACAGACAAATCCCATTTCTTCCGCTTTTTTCAAAACTTACTACGTCAACTCATATTTTGATGTGATTCATCTTTTGAGATGATACCAACTAAATTTGTCCTTTCGTGCGGGGACTACTGTTTCAGTAGAATGGGTCTGAAACAGTCACCAGTGTATTCGAAGTTGTTTACTTTATTATTCTGTTATTTTGAGTATCTCATTCGCCATGGCCAAGTTGATCCACTTCGTCTTCACTGTTGCCCAGTTCAAATTACAAACCGTCCTCCGTAAACTAGTGAAATGGTACAGGTAGCTTATGATACTTCATACATGTCGCCATATAGCTCGGGTGAACTCTTAGTAGTTTTGATTTGGGCAGATTGTTTTGTAAGAGCGGTAGCAGCGTCGCTCGCTTCTCAGAGCAACTCACTATCGATCCGTGGTGGACTAAAATAGACCAGGTCTTCGTTTTTTTACCGGTTAAAACTCGTTATCGCTCCTGGATTGATGATGAGGTCTATCTGGTCGGCCGGGCATTCGATTCATACGATAATGGTCATGCCTAGACCATCAGTTAGGCTCTCAGCTCGAGCTCGAAACGAAAGTTTTACTACGCGTAGTATTTTCTCAGTTTTATTCGCCCGGGTTAAGTACGATATTTTATGGTTATCAATCAACTGTATCTGCGACATAGTGGCCAACAAAAGCTTGTCATAGTAAGTCGATCATGGTAGTGTAAGGCCGTACTAGAAACATGCACATTGCTCATATAAGCTCAAGATGACCCAGTGGTTACTGACCGGAAGGTCCCGGGGTTCGAACACAGCCTCAGCATCTCGACCGTCTCTGTATAGGCTTGGACAACCTAACGGTTCTTCATTCGGATGACATGGCAACCAGGCCCTGAAAGGGCGTTATAACTGACTGATTATTTTTTTATTAGAAAGGCCAGAACGGTTTATTTTAAACATTGCTTACCTATGTTGATTCTAGATTGAGGATTCTCTGGTGTGGGGCGTTCTCTCTAAGGACTTCAGAACACTAGGAAAGCCGAAATCGCTTTGGCACTCGAATACCCTCTCTCTCATACACGCGACCTTAACGCCCTGGTTTCCTCAACACAAATGCTGTATGTGAAAAGATCCATTTTTCTATATGAATCTACATCTATTCTATTACCTTGAATTAGCTATCCTATAGGAAGGCCTCAACACTAACGCAAAACACACCCGATTTCATAGCTTTATTGTGAAGCCGTTTACGGGAAGACGTTTAGCAAGTCCAGCCGTGCTCCGGTTCATTCAGCCATGAAGGATAAACAGCCCTTTGAAAACAATTCACTGAAAACTGTTCTTGCTTATCCCACGAGGTATCCAACCCCTTCCGCGCTGGTGCCTTACACAGCTCATGTTTGGCAGCTACATAAGAAGGGCAAATCCCGACAGATGCATCCCGATCGCACAACCACTGGCGCTGATGCAGTTTAGCGATCACCGTCGACACATAACTGTCTCATCTCCCACTGAGCATTGTCTCCTGTCAACAGCGGTTCCTCCGTCATCTCGCCTACCTTCGGTGAATGAAAATTTAATAATAACCGTTCAACTGTAACACCCGGTGTCTAGCTGTCATGCCACCCGAAGAAAGCACGAGGGCTGAGATACTGTCAGGTCGCCGAAGCCTTGACAGGAATAGCTGAGATACCGTGGTTGGGTTGGAATCGCGGACCTTCCGGTCAGTAAATTCCTGCCTTAACCACGGAGCTACCTCGAGCAGCGGCTACAACCAACATGCACTGTTCGTGGTCGACAAACTGAACAATAACATAGGTCTTTACTCAAGTTATCTACTTGTGTATTCGACAGCAATTATCGAGTACATGCCAGACCCAAAAATCATGTGTCGTACAAATCCACTGTTAGAAAGGAATGTTGTATAAACCATGGTTTCATATTGCGTTCAAAATGGAACCTCGTGTTTTCGATTGTACACACAATTCTATTCTGTATTTGAACGTTGAACTGTTCTACTGTATAAGACTATAAAAATTCTGTCCCTAATAAAACAACCCATTTTCACGTACCCCGTTTATTTCCGCTTCCCAATGCATTCATTTTCTTTTTCCGCATTAGGCATCCGCGTTTTCCTGGGACCCAACATGAAGCGGTCTCGTTCCTTAGCACGTCGTTTCGTCACTCAGTTGAACAAGTTATCTGAATGGTTCGAACAGCAAGACAAACTCTCTTTTTACGCAAGCTCGCTGCTCTTGGCCTATGACAGTCATCAGGATGACCTTCACAGTGAGCCCACACTTACATCTTCATCCTTTTCAGACGCTGGCGAAGAGCACGATAACGATGAATTGGTAGTCACCTATCTCATTGACTTTGCAAGATGGCGCCCTTTGGAATCTGGTGCTGGCTCCAGAGACGAAAACTTTTTGTATGGTCTACGAAATCTGATCCAATTGTTCCAACGAGTCTCTGCAGAAACCGCACCTTTACAGCTGTCCGTCCAACAATTTTCCTTTCGGAATTCCAAAGACTTGATCAGCGGACTACCTCCTACTCCGCTTTAGTTTAGCCTCACTTTTCCCTTTATCGATTCATCTGTACTATACACACGCAACACAGAACATGTTCTATTCAAGTCTTTCGACCAATTCTTCCCAGTCCACCACAAAGAGTATTGGTTTTCCTATTTTCTAAGTTGAATCGAGCGGGTGACTTGTTTTCATTCCGATTTATTACTGTTATTATTATTATTATTTCTATCATTCTTATTAGTAGTAGTAGTGATAGTACTAGCAATTACGTTGTTGTCTTTTGATAATCTTTTTTTTGTTTTCAAATCTCACACATGAAGGAAAGAGGGGAGAACATACGCATACCGCTGCATTTTAAAGTCTGTTTGTTAGTACTACTATTGTTATTATTGTTTTTCTAATTCCATCAGAGTTTCCCCGTGTTTTTTCTACTACCGGTACAAGTTGATCTAACTGTTTGGTAAAAGGCTGTGCTTAGCAACTTGTTGAGTTTCTTCAAATGATTTGACCTAGTGTCAGGGTATATGCCTGCGTCACGCACCCAAGATGAACCTGTGTTGTATGTTGGTACTGGGTGACTAGTGATGGTGGTACGTGTGTGGGTAGTGCGTTTACTATGGCAGGGAAGTTGCGTTTTCACTCTGTATAGTCAGCGTTGAAGTATGGTGAGTAGTGGAACGTTATGTCCAGGAACTTTTGGTGAAATGCTGAGTCAGACGATGCATTCCCAAAGACACTTTTTCTGTGTGAGACTACCGAAAACTGATCAGAAGTGTGGTACTTATCAAAGACACTTTCTGTGTGAGGCTCCCGAATGAGACTACCGAAAACTGACCAGAAGTGTGGTACTTAGCAACATTGAATGCAACACCGAATGAATGAACGCCGAATTCGAAAGTTTGTCAATCTGCCTCGCAATGGAGGTAATGTAAAGTGGACAGATATCCCCCACTGATTTTCTGATCACAGAGACGCATTCTCGCCCTGTGAATTCGGTTTTGGCAGGAGAACCAAATGCACCCGGCCGCCTCACGTTCCAACTGGTACGCTATTCGAGATATCGCAATAGGCTGTCTGACACACTACTCGTAAGATTGCTGGAAACTCTTAGACAACTCGACGACCATTATAAACGAGTCTCCTATCTAAACGAAATTCGTGTGCAAGCAGGAGTGGCGAATTCCATCCAATCTGGACCCAAGTAAGTCATAAGATGGACGTTAACTCGAAAACTTTGTCTACTTGATGAGCCCAAATAAGTGCGAAACCGGTCGTGAGCTGTCGAATAGCCTTCAGCAGCCTTAAGAGTAGTCTGTTACGTTTAGACTTTTTTACCCTGTCTTCACAGTCGCGTTTCGGAACAGAGTAAAGCGACGTCTTTACGCGGTTTCTCCTGCCTAACATCTCTAAGTTTGAACAAATATTCTGGCATCAAAACTATGGGGTCACTTTTTCGGTCCCAAAATGGTATCTAACTTCGGACTTCTTGATCACACCTCAATTTTCGCCTGTGTTGAGCGTGACGTGGAAAACGTCAATGAGATTTTTCTGCCCACTTCGATTACGTCACTCAGGAAAGTTCTTCCTACTAAATTTACCAGTGATATCGATTCGTTATGCACAAGGCTCACGCGCATGCATGCTATGAAATGCGTGAATTCCATCAGATCAATTCATTGATCCAAATGGTAACTGTAACAGCTGTATTTGGTATGACTGCGGTGCTTCCACCGTTGATTGCTACTCATTGACGAGCTTTGCTCCAACAATCAACACAATGTTGGTACACTTCAGTCGACTAAGGGGCATATTCCCATCCTCGTCAACTTTACCTTACCCTTAGGGAGATTCTGGGATGGATGTTTTTGAGAGGGGCCTACTGTCATGTCATCTGTCGGTGTTTGAGCTGCTGGAAAATGTTTTCATCGGTGATTTTTTGCAACAACAAACTTTTTTTGACTAACAATAGGACGCAACACCGGATTGGATGTATGAGGAAGCCGTTCGACAACTGCAAGGAGTCCGTGGCAAACTTTTTTTGACTAACAATAGGACGCAGCACCGGATTGGATGTATTAGGAAGCCGTTCGACAGGGAGTCCGTGATCCGTTCTGAGTACCAAATGGGCAACAAGAAACACTCAGTCTGCTACTATGCTGTTGAAGTCCTTGCCCACTGCATACGGCAGTCCACTCGCGTATCCGTTTCATATAAGTTGATCCCTAACCTGTGACTTCCCAGAAGACTGTTAACCACAAAAATATCCATTGCACTGTGTTTGCAGCCGAACGTGCGTATAACTAGCGACAATCGCTCAAGTGTCCGGATCCACGATCGATTGGCAACGCAGTTCAAAGTGAGTGACAGTCTGAGACTACTGAGGGCCGGGTGCATTTCAAAATGCATGACTGAGCGTCAAAATATATATGGAGAGACTCATGATGGGCTGTGTGCGGTACACAGAATAAGGGTTGTGGCACAAATAAGGCAAAAACTGAAAACGCCACAGAACATCGTTGTAGAAGGGGATTTAGTGATGTTCATTTGCATTTGTAGGATCAAATAAATGTTAGATAGCACAGAAAGGATGGTTAACTCTTGACTTGATGTTGTGCTTGCCAAAATACTTTCTCTTGTGGTCGGATCATCTGACTACTGATCTCTATCAGGCTGACTTGACTTGATGTTGTGCTTGCCAAAATACCTCTTGTGGTCGGATCATCTGACTACGGATCTCTATCAGGCTGGTCAGCCTCATACGGTTTGACAGTGGACAGTCATCCAATTTTAAACCAACCAGTGTTACCCTCACAACGTTGAGACGATTATTCCAGATTTGTACATGGTCAAAGAGACGACGCGTAGAGTCTGACTGAGTCATCAAGACCAATTAATGGTGAGACAACGCTGGTTGGCCGAGCTGCATAGATGGCCTCTGGTGCGTTCGCGGAACTGGCCAATGTGGTTGCAAACGTTCCTGGGTACGTGCTCTTTGGCATGTAACTCGGGTAAGCAGACCAGCCTGAACGTTCTGGTTGAGTCACTCGTGAACGGACGGATGTTCGGTATATCGGTTACAAAGTTTTTCAAAGGGTTCCCTTGTTTTTTCCTTATCTCCGTACGCAAATATCCTGATTTTCTGCTGTTTGGTTTACCGATATTCTAGATCTCCATGGGCAGAGCTTACAGACAGTGGATCTTGTCTGGCATATAGTATTCTCTCAGCTTATCATGCGCGGGGGGGGGGGTATTCTTGTTTGTGCCTCTGCTATGAGTCGGGATATATTCTTGATGTAAGGAAGAACTATCGGTTGTTGATCAGGTGGCTGTTGATCTGTTCGCCGAGCTTGGCAATTAGCTTGCAAACGTTTCCTCACCATACGAGGAGACATCGTCAGTGCGCAGCTGGGTAGGTTTCACCCTTGGGTCGCTTTTACCCTTGTTCTTGCTGCTGCCCATGAGTTGTCTTTCGAAGCTTTATCCGTAGAAATTTCGAGGACGCTCGCCGCTTTGGAACACTCTCATTTCTTTCTCTCTTTTGTGGTTCTGCAGTGTGTCCTCGCTTTCCTGGATAAAGTGTGGATGCCAGTTTGCGTTTCACTGAACTGTCGCAGTGGTATTCGGTGGATTGGTTCGTGTGACTCATCTTCGGCAACATGTCATTTTCAGGCATCCGGTCAATAGTCATATGCGTCAATGCCTCCAAAAGTGATAGCCCGTCGCTCCTCACCGGTTCGACTGCAAATATGCCATTCATCGGTCACATCGCCTTATTCCTGTGAATGTGGATGACGTCCACATTTTCGTCGCTACTCACAAACCACCAGTAGACAGTACATTTCCGATTTCATCCCATAGGGCACCACTTACGGCACATATTGTTTTTCAGTCTTTAAATCTATATAACAAGTTGTCATAAATAATCCGAGGACTTAATTCTGCTTACGATATTAAAAACTGTGGGAAATGGTGCCCACAAAACATTCACCGAGGCATTTAGGCCAGATGGAGCTATGTGTAGTCCAACCTCATCATGTTTGAAGACATGTATAGTTTGTTCCTCTCCGTTGGGATTTCACAACGACTTCAGCTTTGCAGCAAAGTGAGTGAGCCGCAGTTCGCTGATGAGGATCACAGTCTCTATCCCGTCTTGATTTTATTGTGGAAGTACTTCAACCTTTGTATGCCCACAAGTCAACCTACTGGAATCTATTTAGTTCTTCGCTACTTCACTTGTTTTATACAGTAGTGAAGATAGGCAGGTTATTTCTGCTTTAAGGGCCACTCGCCAATCTTCACCAGTGCCCCCTCACTCTTTTTTTCTCTACACCTGTACGGAGGCCAGCCGTCCCCAATAACCGAACATCACATCATTTACACGGATGTCACGTGCAGGACACGGGCCAAACGAGGGCGTGTCCGGATTGGTCAGAATGCCCGCCAATCCGAGTCAAGCACCTGTGACTCGACGCTTCTCGTCCCCTCACGGAGATTCTGGCACGACCTTGTGGAACACACTGTGACTACCCTATAAATACATTTGTAACAATCTTCCGTTGTCTCCATAAAGGGCTGTGTAGAGCTACCGTGCCTTTCGATATACCGTAGTGGGTGGAGCAGGAAGCCAAGGGACCGCTAAAGAGTTGCGCTGCCGTCCAGCAAGTCACAACAACACCTAATGAGCAATCTTCGGTAGATCCCAGCTCAAGACAAAGTGGACAAGATAACGGTGCTACATATATGAATGCAGTCAATAATGAGTAGAAGAGGTGGTTCAACAAGAGGATCGACATTACAGCGAAGCTTCTAAACGGATGCGCCAGGTAAGAGCATATGTGAACAGATTTCATACCACAAAGTTAACTTTTGCTATTGAGGGGAGCATTGGTAGCTCAAGTAGCGTCCACTAGTTTGTTTGCTGATCTGAGGAGTTTGATCACAAACTTCACATCACCAATCGAGGTGCGTTGTTTGAGAGGACAAGCACTCTCGTGCACTTTCCTCACATGCGGATATGCACCTCCAGGGCTGTGAGATGTAGCGAGTTTCAAGGTTGGTTTTAAATTCCCCGTGAAAACTACCCCTAATTGGTTAGCTGCTCACGCATAGTCTCTTCTGTGCAGCTTAACTGAAAAGATCTGTGAGATAATCGGGCGGGCAAGAGTTTCACCGATGTCCTAATATTGCGTCTGCCCACGTTTCAAAGACTCATAGCTCTACACCAGCCGATGATAGCCTTATGAAGTTCTAATTGCTCATTTCCATCGGGCTCAAAAGTCAGATATTATTGTTGATGGTGAGGATACGAACGTGAATTCGGTGAGTTGAGCAGTGCCAAGATGCGATTAGATAGCCTTATTGTCAACAGTGTGTACACATTACGGTTATATACCGATCACTACCAACCCCCAAAACAGTGGATATCGAACGAATGAGCCTGCGACCATCAATTATCGACGGCTTCGCTGACTCACACACTTCAAGCAGCCACTGAGAACCTTATGGATCCCTATACAAAACGAAGGTGTCTGAGAAGCGCTCTTCACTTGCAAATTGATCAGAAGTCTGACGCGGTTGAGGGAGCTCCCTAAAATTCCCAGGCGATGCCGAAATTTCAGTCAATAAAGCTAAAACAATACATATTAGGTTGGTGGCGATGAAATATGCATTATTGTTTCCGTCCACAATCACAATCGATATCTCCCCCGTCGCCAGACCAAGTGTAGTATGCTTGCAAACCCAAAGTCCTAGTGGGTCAAGAAAAATTTGGACAGGCTAGAAACATCCGTAGACGATTTGCTTGACGTGTACTCGAGTAGGTCACTTTACTCAGTCAAGGAACATCTCGATAGCCATTAGAGTTAAAAGAGTGACTATTTATGCCGAAACTTATTTGAGTACCACTCCACTAATTGTTATCCGAATCATATAACTGCTACAGGGAAGGGGACGGTGAATGAAGAATATCGCCAAGTCTCGGAATTATGTGGATGCCTCCCTATCTTCTGGCCTGAATGACGCTTCTCCTTCTGTATTCAGAGACACCGGTTAAGTCTCCAGTCAGTGCCTATCCGACTTACTTGCATCTACCTAGGTTGAAGAAACCGAGACAACTAGGTCGATATGACGCAGGTGTCTACGCTCGTAAAAAGTAACTGCTACGGACGTAATAAACGCAAATGTGAGTCTGACACCCGTCGTTATAAAAAAAGTCTTATGGCCAATAAATTTGTCATCGTTCGACGGGACGTAAGTGCCTCCGGTCGTGCGGAAATTCCCGGCTGAAGATCACTCACCAATGTCTGTATTCAAGCCAAAAAGTGTCTCGGCATTTTTCAATTATCTCTAGGAAATCTCCCAAATAATCTAACAGGAATGTTGGAGCATCTATACTCACTGTAAGCTATCCTAAAGCATATGCATCTTTTCACCTTTCGTGTCACAGTATGCACGTTATTTTGGCACAACCTACGTTGACACCAGCTCACCTTCGGAATTCTATCTGTAATCTCCGAGACAAAAAGGAGAATAGGGTGCCCAAGAAACATTCACCGAGATATCTAGTCCAGGTTGGAGGCCTAATACATCAACGTGTATCCCAACCTCCTGGTCTTTTGGTTGAAGGTCTGCACCGTTTGCTCCATACTTTAGGGGCGACTCGATTGGGCTTTCGCAAGGACGTCTGCTTTGCAATAAAGTCTTTGGGCTATAAATCGTGGATCCTTGTGGATCCCAGTCGCTCTCTTCCCCAACTTTAAATGTCCTTGTAGAGACTGACTCTCCTCCTTGTTATAAAAATCCTGTCGCCCAAAACTGTCGTTTTGCGACTAAAAGTGAGTGCCTCCGGAGACGTGAGACTACCCAGTTGAAGAGCAATCGATATTACATTAATTCAAGGAAATATATCCAGTTTTTTCACATACCTCTGAAAAATATCCCAATTGATAAGCACTGTAATATAAGACAACGAAGTATGCAGGGGAATTTTATGAATCTCCAAGCACAGTAATTTCTTAGCTTCGTCATTGGCCAAGCAGGATCCGGGATAAGAGAGCAAGACTTTTTAAAAAAACAAATAAATGGAACTGATCTGAAAACGATAAATGTAACAACGTGCGAAAAACTCATGTTAAGCGAAGTAGTTAACGACTTAAAGTCAGTTACAGACTGAGAATGAATAAGATACAAACAATATTGTTTCTGAAATGACATCCGAAATAGCTTTAGGCGAAGACATTAATCAACCAGATTAGCAGAAAGAAAATAATTCCCAAATGGAATGACTTGTTGCGCTCAGCTGCGCTCCGATCTCGCAACACATGGGCCACATGAGATAGACTGCCGTTGTGAGGACCGGGATTTTCCAGGCCAAGAAGATGACACATCATTGGATAGATATCGATTAAGTCCATGGACTGAATGGTGTGATTAGGTACTGGCGGCTTGAATCCAGGTCCAGTAGCCAGGAGGAACGGGGACATTTCCGGTGAAGCCGGATCATACCCATGTTTACCTCCCTTTTCTAAAAGATCATACAGCATGAAATATTACTCGACGTATGGAGATATAATGAAAATAGTATATGTGACAATTCCCATGATACATCTAGACGATCTCCATATTTTCAAATCTGGGAAATGAATGCTGATTACTGGCTGAAAACAATGCAACAGCTAACTGTAGCCAACGAGAAGGGGGCAACGAAAGCGTGAAAGATTGATCGATATTGACTGATAACTATTCATATCGCGCATCCAGGAACAATCACACACAAGTATTCCGCTTCTTAGAGCAGGCAGCCTGTTTACGTGAAAGATTGATCGATATTGACTGATAAATATTCACATCGCGCATCCAAAGGTAAGCACACACAAATATTGCGCCTTCCTAGACCAGAGAGCTCTCACGTAAGAGAGTTCTACGGTAGAAAACCTCACAACGAACTCCCAAAAGTGGCGCTGAATGACAGTCAACTCCGTGTGAGGCATGGACAGGTTTATGAAAATTAGTGCCAACTTTAGACTGACTCCAAAGCAAAGGGGTTGACGTAAGCATACGTCAAGTTCTAAGCTGAGTCATGTAAGCCAATACACATCACGGATCGAAGCAGTAATAACACTCGTGTTGTGAATAAAGCCGGTTGATCTGGTGTGGTTTCCATCACAGGATAGACAACTCATTGTCATCACAGTGATCCAGACCACTATGGGGACCGCAAGAGTTAACACAGGGAGACTAAAGCAGACAGCATTTACAGCGTGATTACATCACATATAATCAGTGTCATGAGGTCTTGTATTGTGCTAGTATATGCCTAGTTAGTCGCTACGATCAGTCTTACATCAGATTGAAATGATTCCGGATTCTGAGGTTGTCCGGACAACTAAACAAACGATTGGACCGTCCCGGGGGTCGCCCAACAGAGAAAACCTGCGGATTTCGATTGTCTGACACCAACAGATATTAGAGTATACGAATTTTGTACTTGCCCAATCGAATTGGCTGAGTAGAACCACTGTGAAGCGCATTTCATACGGGAAATATACTTTCGTAATACGAAGTGTGTTCGTTCGACGCTACGGGCAAAGAATACTTCTGAGTTACTGAGAAGCAAACACACAGACTGAGGGGCTGATCATACCTAATCTGATGAAATGATTTCTGTGCGAAACGGCCCCATCAAACAAGCATAATAAACGGGATTTAACCTCCAGCGACAAAATACGGAAATCTAATACAATTGATGCGATCGACTGGGCCCCTCATTGTGCTTCGTGCCCATCCTCCTAGTCGGCTGAATCGAAGTCCTTAACCATCCGATGTAAGATTTCCGAAACGTGTTGCATCTTCAAACCTGTCCACCTTTCCATAAGGAATGCCCGTATTTCTGCCGATACATTTGCTATGGGAACTAGCCTGGCACACAGGGAACCACCCAAGCCTGAGTAGATATCAGCGGACATCCCTACACAGATTGTACTGAATGAAGAGTGTTCACTTTTACCTGTGTTCCTCAAGGTTTCCTTTAAGTCCATGTGTTAAAATGCCCTCAATGTTCACTTGAAATTAATTCGAAAACATGCTCACCGTCAAACCGGTGACAAGTCTAGATTCGTGAGTAGGATTTCACTGCATCATTGATAAACTTAAAACAATTTTCCCTATCGATTTTCAATTAGTTCACGGCCGACAACCTGGTCTGATCCATCCACGCATATCTTACTCAGTTCTGGATAGAAACACTACTCTGTAGGTCTAAAAACGAGCTCGCATATCATTCAACAATAAAACTTACTAAATTTAATTTGATATTCCGACGACTTCACAATCACCCAACCGACATCGGCAAACACAATGACTGGAGCAATACGCGGACTGCGTGAATAGAACCATCGCTCCGGTACGTCTTCTTTCTTATAAGCATGCATATACGGGTGTCTGTTCTCCAACCGATCAACAATGTCATCTGAAGTGAAATCTTTTTAGTGTGCACTATCACGAATAGCCAGCAACATACTTGCTTCGGGCCACAGACCCCATACAACTGCGGGAGATTCGCGAGAACTGTTGTACATCGTACTGTTCAGATAATCATCCAAGACAATCAATCTCGTGGGGTCAACTTCCGCCATACCGTGGTCGCTAGCGATAATGATGTTCAGAGAGTGTGCCAGCTTCGGGCTCTTTTGGACTCGTTCTAGCAGATACTCCACCTCGTTGTTCAGCGTTCCGATAGCCTTCAGAACTTCGGTCGAATCAGGACCGTATCTATGACCGGTTAAGTCCGGTTCGATGTGGTAGAGCAGCGCAAGATTTACGTCAGTCTCGAGCCAACCAATCACGTCATCGATTGACTTTCGCAGAGGAATAGTCGGGTCGAAAGCAGGGTAACTGATGGAAGGAAGAATGTTTTTGATTGGTGCAAACGCTCCTGTCCATGACGTCATAGCCGTGCGATGACCGTGTAATTGATTCGTCACCCAGATAGGCTCAGCCCCAACATCGAACCAGACTGACTCCTTCGCCTGAGTTCCATTGCTGAACGCAAACGTCCGGTTGAGCATCGGGTCGAAGAATGAATTATCCACGATCCCATGAGACTCCGGATGTTGACCAGTCACCATCGAGAAGTGATTCGACGAGGTGCTCGTGACAAATTCATTTTTCACGCGCAATACCCGAAAGCCGGATTCCCAGATTTTCAAGAAACCAGAGATATTAACACCAGACGATGAAGCTTTGTCCAGGTAGTCATGACGGAACCCGTCAAACGAAATCAGTAGAAGCTTGGTTCTTCCGTCAGTGTCGCTTATCGGCGTAGCACCAACACTCGAGGTGATACTCAGATAGATGAACAATTTCCAACAGTTAGACATTGTGACTTTCGGGTTGTTCAATTGCTGCCAACGTGGCGATTTTCGGCGGATGCTTTGGGTGCTTATAAATGATCGAATGAATCGACCCTTCAATTTGAATGAGGCAGCACAATGAGCAATCTTGTTCTCTAGGATATTCGACTCACCGATTTGGGTTAACCTATTTGTAGTTGGAAAACACAAAACGTCAGACAGGATACAGTGAAAAGTGTGTAAAACAAGGATTGGTTTAGTGTCAGTGGGGGTTTTCACTTTCATTAAATTTATTTTGAGACAACCGATCAACTATTACCGTATCCTGGTATATTGTTCCGGGTTCCGGATTCTCGAACAATGGAAGCTTAACTGCGTAATTCGTCTGCGAACCTCGAAGAACGTCAACATTTCGAGAAATACACTCGTTTGCAAATCAATTTGGTTTTCACGAGAGACTCGACTGAATCGCTTGTTTATGATATTCTACAACTGAATGTGCTGCACAAAGCCCGCCTCATGATTCAGTTGGCATGATATTCGAGATATCGCAGTCAACGTTTGTTGTGGTGGAGCCCGATGCACGGGGAATTACCGACATGTAACATTCACAACTCTGTAAATTTTGGAGTGAATGTGGAAATGTTCCATGTGAAAATAAAGGCATTAGTACTGATACTGCACGATAATTCCAATAGAGTTGGTGGTAACAAGTGAGGAGCATAGTCTGTTCAACAGAATCTTGGAAATCAGATCGGTGATTGAGAGAATAGGCCCATGCAATATCTGGTTCACTAAAACCCGGTCGTCGGTCTACACTGAAAACAATAAACTCCTTTTCGTCGATGAGTGTCATGTAGCGTTGGGGGGACAGTTGATGGGGATGGAAGCTGTGTCATTGTATACTACCGTTTGAAGAGTGAAACTGCTGTTCTTCTACTGTTGAGCAGCTCAGATGGAGAAGATGCTGCTTGATGCCAAGCGATACCAAGCACAGAACTCCGAATTCAGGGAGATCGTGACATTGGTTCAGATAACTAGTTTGGTCCGGATACTTTTGCATTATAGGCTTCAATAACCCCGAAGAATAACTGCAGTCAAATGCATACGTCTACATCAGAGATATGCTTCGAGTATAAACTGCGGGAAACTATGGTTGTTCCAAGTCTGGTTCAAAACGTGCTGTCACCAAGTAAAGTACAGTGCTGATGGACGTACAAAATCCTGGATCACACACTAACCGCCGTCGGGACGAAAGCAGAGTTCGAGTCAAGTTGAAGGATATTCCACGCACCTGAAGTAGAATTTCCAGTCGAGAAATCTACGGTGTTATGGAGTGATTCTGTGTGTAATCTTCGGACAAATATACAGACGGTCGTTGGTTTGCTCGCCGAGCTGGGCAATTTGGCCACAAATGTCTCATTACCAATCGAGACGGAAAGCATTCATCAAGAAACTGGAGTCAGTCGCAGACGATTCATCATCATCATCATCATCATCATCATCACGAACGAGATATCGGGTGTTGTAGGGAAAGACGAATTAAGGTAGACTTCACTATGAGAAACAACACTGCAAACCTGCATCGTGTTCTGGAATTAGAATGGATGTTAAATGAACCCGAGAGAACTGGGCGCTGAGCACACACAAGAGAGCTGAGAGAAAATGTTGGCTAAGCGCTGAACCAAAATGGACAGGGCTCGAAGTAACCCAAGTGGAAGTCTTTGTGGAACACATAACATCCTCTATCGGAATGAGTAGAAATCTGGACGTCGGAGGTGTGGTGAGGATCGTTCGAGGGGGAGGGCCCCCCCTGAGCATCAATCCCAAGCACATCTCGCTGCGGAAAGTTGTGTACACAACTATCAGGAAGGTCAGATTCCTGAAAGTAACCTCAGAACGCCCAAAACCTACTGCTCCACCAAAAGCTCAACTGGAAAGCCGACAAGCATCCAGGCCAGTCAATCATGCAGTCACTTCAGCAAAAGCTGATGAGTGTTCTTGCACGCCACAGAAGTACGACCGAGTGTGGTCAGCGTTGAGGCCTTTCGTAGAGGCACGATCGATGTTGATGGGTGTTCACCAACGCCTATCAGACAGCCTGGATAGATGTCAGAAAGTCCCTTTTAAATAGAATGGGACCGTTGTAACTTTTGCTCTCGCACGCACTCACTCACTTGTTCGGAATAATGCTGTTATGTTCCCTTCTGTGAGTCTTTGGGGCACTAGGCACTGGGTAAGCAGTAGATATCACTGATTGGCGAATGAGCATATATAACAGTAACCGTACCAAACGGTGCAGCGGAACATTCCACATCTCACGACAGTTAACGCTGCCAAATAGCGCTTGCATATAGATTGCACTGATCTTCAGTTTGATCTGTCTCTTCACTTTATGTAGCTCTTGACAACTGTCCACATCACTGACACAAACCAACTAAAGCTACCATTATTCGCAAATAGAAACAGTGCATGAAATGGATGGGTCCATCAGTATAAGGTCCTGCAAAACAGTCGATAACCGGGGTCTAACTCATCAGCCCATCAACCTGATGGTTCTCCATAAACTAAGTGGCATCTTCCGCATTTCCTCACCACAGTAGAATACTTCACAATACGGCTTGCCAGGCTTGGATAGCGCTGCAGCTATGAATCGACGTTAGCCGATAACAAATAAAACGGAAGAAATCGGCGAATTTACTCCAAATGTGCAGTAATCAACATGTTTGACGAAGTCTGTTGAGTATAGAGTTGTAGCTATGAGCGTTGTTGAAATGCAGAGTTCGTTATGGGGCGAATCGGAGACAAGAAGAGGACGGGGACGTATGGGATAGGATGAATAAAAATAGCGAATCGGTTGATCTGCTGACTTCGATTCCTCTACCATTCGTCCTCGATGTAGCTGGGTTACAGAGTCACGGCAATACAAGAGTTGGCTAGCTGCTGCTTCTTGACCGCGCTGTTCAGATTCGACAAACACTTTATCATTTGTAGTCGTCAGTTGTTTTTTTGTAGTAAATGATTGTGACAACATCGATCCCGTATCACTTCAGTTCCATCGCAAACAAGGCTAAACGAGCAATTCGGTTATGAGCCATGATTGTCACCGTGTTAGAAATAGATGCATAGAATCGACGAAGACGACGAACATTGAGATCGAGTACATGTATGTTGGAAATGACGGCGATAGTCACTTACGTTAGGGCATAGTTGTACAGGCGGTTGCAGTTGAGAGGGTTATAATGGAGCTTATGTAGGCGAAGTCCGACAGGCTTAACAAATCTGAAGTGACGATATTCAGAAGCCTATGTTCGTAGTTACCTACACGATTGAATTCATGTTGAGTTGTGGTTGGAAAATTGACGAGTGAATGAAACCTATGACATTCGGTTGCATATACTTCTGAAAGAAAGAAGGCATTCGCTGCAAGCTATTTATTAGAAAATGCCAACTGAACGGTTACAGACTATTGGACAGGAGAGCACAACTCTCATATACATCTTCTCCTTGAACGAGTCTCCCTGAACTATCCCGGATATTCATTGACTGTTACTCATTTGCAAGCAAATGCTGCAGAGCGAATCCACAAATTCCGTAAGAGATCTCACTTTTCAAGAGACGCAAAGTGGATTTACGAGAAAATATACTACTCGAATGCCCCACATCAGTAGTATCACCAAAACCTATGACATTCGGCTGCATATACCTCTAGCTGGAGGTTGATTCTAGGATCCAAGCGAATCCGATACAGGTTTTGATACTGATCATGAAGCGAAAGGTTTTCAGTAAGAAACGTCACAGAGAGAAACTATCTGAAGGATCTCAACTATTTCTGAGAGGCTATCTAAAGCAGTCCTCATGGAACGGGCTTTGGTGACCAGAGTTTCAAATGGAATGATGAGATTCATTTGGGTTATCATCCAACTCACCGGCAGTAAAGCAGCCACTTGTTACAAACGTTCACACTGACTGAACCCGGGAGAGCAACGAAAATGCATGTCGGGCCAATTTAATCACCTCGAAAGTCGTGTATGAAAAGTGAAGGTGTTTATATAAAAACTATGATCACCACAATGGGAACTATCCATACCTTCCCTGTTTTTATTTTACCAGAAGGGAACATGAACGGGTCAATTCCGGTGAACTAAATGTTTCCGTAAAACCGTTTCTCACACTCGTATACGACACCGGTAAGCGACATCTAACGGACGAGACAGACATGTCAGATATTACTGCCTCACCCATACTTCTCCAATCATTGATCGATTGAGTGGCGAGTGAGTACGCACAATCGGTGGTGCGCGTATAACGATCACCAATCTGTACACTAAACGACAGAAGTTTGCATGAATATTGAGAGTTGTCCAAAATTCAAAGTGTTGAAACCTCACCTCCAAGCTGAAGTTGTTAACATGGGTCGAAACTAGTTGTCATCCAAGGGCACTTGCGCTTGGTGCAAGAAAGACGATAAAAAACACACGATTTATCCTGGAATAAATCAGATATCCTGAGAGCAGGACAACGTAACTAAGAACACCGATAAATCCACTGTCTTCGGGCTAGAACTTCAACCTCACCAAACGAATTTATCGCATGTATTGTCATCGAGTGCAAACATTCCAAACAGTTGATCGAATAAGTCACCGGTTCAAAAAGTCCAAATGCTGAAGGATTTCCGGCTCAAAGCTTCTTCACTCAGTTTCAATTTTGAACTGTGGGCGGACCCAATCAGAGTCTTGAGTTTCTGAACCAATGAGCACATTGTTGCATCGCTGTGCAGGAGGACCGTGTATCTCGACCTGATTCCTGAATTTTAGAGGATTATGGAGTTATGCAAAGTCTTGTAGAATCGGCTATCTGATTCTCCAGCAGTATCACCAGCTTGGCCTTCCGACGTACGGAAGTCGCATCCTTGACGAAAACAGTTCCTACCGGACAGTTAGCGACTCGAGCTCATGCACTCGCTCCTTGGTACATATGTGTGCCAACTTCCGTCACCAAAATCACATCACCCCATTACATTTCCAGCTAATTTGGTTTCTAGTACAATTCAAAAATATATATATGTACCGCGATATCTCGACCATCGTAGCGACTGATATATGAGGCGGCCTGGTGCAGCACATTCGGTAGCCTGAAAACATCAAAACCGAGAGATTCAGCTGAGTTCCTGGTGGGTCTCTCGAAAAACCAAATTTGTTTTCAAGTGAGTGTATTTCGACAACTCATTCTTCCTTGAACATGATCCTCAGTCATCAAGCAACGATTTCTAATCCCTGTATGTTTTAGATGTGGCGCATGTTGTAGCAGTTTCTGTATGTATCCAACCCGTGGGATCTCAGTCAATCAATTGATTTCAATTTGAACACAAGGGTGACAGAATCTCGGGGACTGTGCCCATCTGATAAGATCCAAGAAGGGCAAAACCGATCGTGGATTGTTGAACAGCTTTCACCGAAATTCCAAGTAGTGTTCCGTTAAGAAAATAGGGGAAATCCTCAATTGTCGGAGCTTCAAATTGAAAGCCGATTTTCAAGTATTGCTGGGAGTTGACTAACCACCGATCGATGCGTATACGGAAACGAAACTGGCACTACAACAAGCGACGCTACCAGGCAGTTTACCGTTGGAAACCACAAGTGACAAACACACTCACTTGGAAATACGGAGTGTGAATTCTCACAGGTAGGAAAATTTTCAGTGAAAACTGAGCACGTTGTTGAGTGGGTCGTCGTTCCCATAGTAGAGGTGTGTAAGTCATCGAATTTCTTGTGGTGCTACCGTCAGAAGAATTACCGCGAAATCATCCTATGGTATGGACTCCGAGTGTCGCATATTTGAGACCAATTCCGAGATGTGAGTATACCTGCAACCATGGGCACAAACCGGAAAAAGTATGTGCTTTCTAGGTGAAGTATATCAGATTTTCGGTTGTCTCACTGATTCCAATGCACAAACGTCACACCACCTGAAGGCTTCCTCCGCTTGCAGATGAAATTTTGCACCATCGAAAAAATTTTGCGCATGAAACTTCAGTTGAACAGATAAAAAAATAAAGTTTGAACAATGAAACAACTCATTTTCAGAACCACCTGCCTCAAAAAACAATTTATGTTCACATAGCACCTGGAGTGGATGACTCAACAGCGAAGAGAACAGTTCGAAGTGGAAACCAACGAACGATGTGGTTAGCCAGCGGCTCGACGCACAATGCATTTTTCTGAAAAACCCCTTCGGCTGAAATAAAAACTTCAACTTCAAAATGTTGCACTTCTTTGCATATGTGCTCAGTCAAAAAATCAACGTCATCTGCCATCATTTTTTTGCGATTTGTTTTAATCGATCTCTTTTGAAAATTATTGGCGCACATTCGGCTTTGAACTTCGTGTGCTGTGGCTTCGGAAGTGGCTTTCGTTGAGAAATTTGTGGGTGTATCGTTTTCATTCCTCACGATATTTGAGAAGACCTTAAATCAGTACATGAAGGATAACGGTATTTGTGTTGTGCGTTCATCCAAAGAAGCTAGTAAGCCGAGCGTATTTTCTAATTAAAAAAAGTACGCGAAGCACCAGCTGTACAGTGCGGTTTTGTCTACAGAGGCAAAAGAACCAAATGGCAGTGACCTCTTATTTTCTTGAACACAAACACAAATTGTCAAAGTTTCTGTACGATCGGCTTCCAGTTAATCAACGCCTAACCGAAGACGAGTTTGGCCCATGGAAGGCCCTGCTGAAATATGGAACGCCGTCATTTGAGGTGCGGCAGTTTGTAGCGGATGAATTCGGAGAGATTGTTACCACTAAGGATATACACAACTACCGCCGGAAGTGTCGACCGACTATGTTGAGTAGGTGCCGCATAGTTGGGTTTTAATATGACAGACAATATGTCTCCGGTCCTGGCAAAACTTCGGGAGATCGAATGCGTCCTTGTGTGTCAGTCAGAGGGAGGTCACTATAGCCACATATGTTCCTCCCGATGGCAGCAGATAGCGTTATTCCGACGCTTTTCAGATGTAGTGAA